TGGGGACCCTAGGGTCTCATGGGCTTTTCTTGCAGCAGAAATGACATTGGGGAGGGGTGATTGGGGGCAGGAACCAGAAACACGGCCCCTCCAGGAGATCCTTCACAGCCCACCACCCAGACATTTGAAGTTTGAGTGGAATCTTGCTGCATCGGTATGTCCCAAGACATATATATTTTTTAACTTTTTATTTTATTTATTTACTTATATGTGGTGCTAAGGATCAAACCCAGCACCTCTCACATGTTAGGCGAGTGCTCTACCGTGCTGAGCCACAACCCCAGCCCCCCCAAGCCACATTTGGGACATACTTATACTAAAGCCCTATTCTTTATTTAATTGACAGTATGTCCTGTATTTTTATTTATTATTATTATTATTGGGGGGGGTACCAAGGGTTGAACTCAGGGGCACTCAATCACTGAGCCACATCCATGGCCCTATTTTGTATTTTATTTAGAGACAGGGTCTCACTGAGTTGCTTAGTGCCTTGCCATTGCTGAGGCTGGCTTTGAACTCTCCATCCTCCTGCCTCAGCCTCCCGAGCTGCTGGGATCACAGACAAACACCACTGCACCCGGTATCCTGTATTTTTTTATACTAAGCATAGCAATATGATTCCTGTACCTCTAACCAGCACCTGGGGGACTGCTTGGGGTAGGGAAGTTCCAACTCAGGCACCACAATCTGCCCTGGAATTCTGCCTACAAGCCTCTTTCCCCAACCCCAGTGTCCATGGAGAGGCTGAGCCCAGAGACTCCTGGGGGAATCATGTCACCCTAACTCTCTGCTCCCTGGGATTTCTCTGCCTGCCACCCCAGCCCCTCCTAAAGACTAAGTGCCTGAGTTGGGATTCCAGGCCCACATGCCTGAGGAGAGAAGAGTTTGTAGGAATGGCTGTTCTTCGCCTCACAGCAGGACCTTGAGGGACTCGGGTCAGGGTCTCCTCTCCCCTTCCTCCAGAGCAGTTTATAAACCACGTACTGATGACGGATTCAGGGAAGATCACCAGGACTCTCACGGGTCAACCGTCCGCGAACGTTGGCTAGGTCTGCACAGAGGGAGCACTCACTTCCGGGGTGCTCCCAAGCCATGGCAGAAGGCCACCCCAGGAGGTGCCTGCCAGAAACACTGACCTCAACAAACGCAGACACGAGCCGCTAGGGAGCCCTCGCCAACCTGTGAACGAGAAAGATGCCCGCAGCCAGGCTCCAGAGAGGAGACTTTTTGGAATACTGGAGATTGAGGACCCTCATATCTCCCCTTGAAAAATCATATACAAGATTCTTCCTCAGGTGAGAGGGTCTCTGAAGGCCAGAGCCAACCGGCTGCCCACAAGGCGGCTTATTGCCAACGGAGCTCTTTCTTTCCGTCACTCTGCCTCTGGTTTCCTTGATTCCACTGGCAGCAGTGACTGAACCCCGTGTTACTACAAAAGTAAAGGGTCACCTTACCAGTGGGAGAGCTGGCAGGCGCCACCAACAGTGGAGCAGCTGACATCACACCTCCTGCTCTGATCTGCCTCCAGATTAAAGAGGACTAAAGACACCTGCCAAATAACTGCAGGTCCCCCCCTGAGATAGGCAAAGAAGAGCTAGAAAGAGCACCCTGGGGCTGCTGCCACCATCAACAGGTTCTGCAGAGGAGACAATGGGGTCGCATCCTCGTAAAAATGTCCCGAATTTGACAGTTACACATTGGTCTGAGGCTTCGTGGGTGGAATCGAATATTTTTCCAGCGACTCTTTCATGGTTTCCGAAGAGCAAATAGGAGATAGGGAAAGCGGAGGAAGGCCAGGGAGGAGGGCGGGAGAGTAGTGATTAATCTAATTGTCCCACTGTACTTTTCTTGCAGTTTCTCTGTACACTGAATATTGTTCCAAACCAAAAGTTTGGGGAGCACACATTGCTAATAAAATAGCAAAAGTAGAGGGGGCTTGCCAAGCGCCTGTGATCCCAGTGACTCGGCAAGCTGAGGCAGGAGGATCCCAAATTGGAGGCCAGCCTCTGCAACTTACCCTGTCCCAAAATTAAAAAAAAACACAAAAAGGACCTGGGATGTAGCTCAGGGGTAGGGCACCCCTGAATTCAATCCCTAGTACGAGGGAGTAGAGGGGTGAAGGAGAAGTAGAAGAGGGCTTATTAAATTAAATTTGGCTTAAAGCTGCCTCTAGAGGTAGTAAATTGTAACCTGAATTAATAGGTAAACAAACGGCAACCTGAGAGCATGTTCTTGTAATGAACAGCCAGGTCTCAGCCAATCATAGAAGCAGAGTTTTCAGCCAACCACAGGCTTCGCACCTCCAGAACAGGTCCAAATGAGGGTACGGCAACTGACACCGATCAGGTTATTCCAGCAGGCGGCCTCTTTCTGTGTGTAACTACTGTCTGCCTTCGTGACACTCTGACTGGTTTAGGGTGCTGCCCGATTCACAAATTTGCTTTAAAAAAGACTGCTAAATTCAAATTGTGGATGTGGATGTGGTTCCCTAGTAGAGCATTTGCCTGTCAGGCTTGAGGCTCTGGGGTTGATCCTCTGCACTGGGGAAAAGAGAGAGGGAGGGAGGGAGGGAGGGAGAGAGAGAGAGAGAGAGAGAGAGAGAGAGAGAGCGTGCCAGAAGGTTTTCTTTTAACAGGCCTTAAGACCTTGCGGTCTGCCTGCCCTTCCTTAAACAGGACTCTGGTCACACAGTGAGCAGCAGCGGCAGCAGCGCAGAGATGGCCTGCCCTTGCCCTACTAGCTACAAACACAAGGCCTCAGCCCTGAGTTTGGGCCCCAAGAACAGGAGGGGGACACCTAATCAGTGTCACCATTTCCTTTCCTTAGTCCCTCAGGCTGCCCACGGGCAGCTCCGTGCCTACTGTGATGTGACCAAAATACCTGACAAGAACGACTTCGCTTTGGTTCAGGGTTTCAGAGCCTCAGTCCATGGTGGGCTGACCCCAGCGCTCAGAGCCTCAGGTGAGGCAGGAGATCACGGTGAAGCACACGGAGATACAAGGCCCCCGAGCTCATGGCAGCCAGGACGGAGAGAAGTGGGGAGAGAGAAAGAGAGAGAAGAGGAAAGAAAAGGAAGGAAAGGGCCAGGAACAAGATACAGTCCCAAGGACACACCCCCTGTGACCTACGCCCCCCCCCCCATGCAACCGCCTGCCTACAGTTCCCACTCCCCCTCCACATTCAAAACATTTACCCATCAGATGAGTTAATCTGCGGATGAAGTTACAGACCTCATGATCCAATCGTTCACAAAAGCCCCACCCCTGCGTTGCGACCAAGTCTTCAACACAAGTGCTTTTGGGGGGTCTGGCTGAAAGATCCAGCCCACCCTCTCCACAGGTACTGGACCCCAACTTCCCTCCACCTGCTCGACCATCACTTCTGGAGATAGCTCCCTATACCCAGGTGCAGGCAGGATCAGACAGGAGGGAAGAGAAACAGGGACAGGGATTGTAACAACGTCCCCTGGAGAGCAAAAGTCCTGGAGCCTCACTCAGCCATTGCACAACTACTCAAACCCAGGGGGCAACTCTTGGGAGCGAGGCTCGGATTGATGATCAGACATGACACACACTCTTGGGCCCATCCCTTGCCAGGGCTGGAGGCAGCCAGAAGACAGAATTGCCGGGTCTGGGGACCAAGCCAGCTGGAGGGTGTGGGCAGTGAGGGGCCTCTGGTGACTCATGATCTTCATGGCACAGAGGTCACAGCAACTGTCCTGACCACAGGGCACCCCACTCAGACAAAATCCGCCTCCTGTTTCAGCCTCAGTGTCCACCATCGTCCACTTGTGTGCACTTGCTCTGCCTCCCTGAGTTCACGTGGGGACGTGGTCCTGGAGCACACACAGCTTGTCGACAGCCGACGTCGGCGTGGGGACAGGCACGGAATGGCGGTCACTTTCTATGAGAGGCTCAGATGTATCTAGGGGTGAAATCTCCTTTTGCCCTTTGCCTATTGCAATGATGCCAGAGACAGAACTTGTTATAGCTTCCACGGCGTTCACTTTACATACAGAAACAATTCTGAAGAGGCTCAACCGCATAAATGAGAAAAATGATGGGCAGTTAATATGATTTTTTTTCTAGTACCAGGGATTGAACCCAGGGGCACTTAACCATGGAGCCACATCCCCAGCCCTTTTTATATTTTATTTAGAGACAGGCTCTTGCTGAGTTGCTCAAGGCCTCCCTAAGTTCCTGAGGCTGGCTTTAAACTTGTGATCCTCCTGCCTTAGCCTCCTGAGCTGCTGGGATTACAGGCATGCACCACGAATTAATATGATCTTAGGACAGTCAGTAATGAAACCAAGGGAAAATCTAAATAAAACCACTAGCTTCACTTTAAGAGTCACTTATTTTGGAGGCTGTGCCAGCTAACGATGTACTATCAGGCTTGCACTAGCTTTGCTGTGTAGATGACACCTCTGAAATATGGGTCATGACGATGGTTGCCTAGGTTACTCTTTAGGGAGTTGATGCCTGCTATTATTGAAACCCCCAATCTTTTATCTGGGCCTGTACAGTTGTCCAGTGGGTGACTTTTTGACCTCAGAGGGTTTGATGTTCCACCCTCTAATGGAGCTATCACCTCTATTTTATGAACATGTGTCCTATGAAGAGCTATGAGATTGATTATGCAAATGCAGAACACTGATTTCTTCTTCTTCTTCACAGTGCAGGATATCAAACCCAGGGCATCGCACATACTAGGTATGCACTCTACCCCTGAGCCGCACCCCAGCCCTCCTTGCTTCTTTACCCCATAAATATCCTCAAACTTGATCCTTCAGGAGGCAAATTTGAGCCTTGGTCTCCCATCTCCACGTACTCAGCCACTTTGTGAATAAGCCTTTCTCTTTCCCAATGATAATCATTTCATTGATTGGCATACTGTGTGGCAGGCAGAACAGGCCTGGTTTGGGAATGGGGACAGAGTGACAACTTTAGTCTAAAAATACATATAACAATGTAAATGACCACACAAGGCAGACAAATGGATGGATTCCACCCTGGCTCTCATTTTGTAGCGTCGTTTGCTGGACTGGCACGTGTACCTTAACCTGAACGCACTTAAGTCTTGTTTATTAGGTGCCTCGGGGTGCTGAGTCTTTCAGGGAAGAGTGTGGTGGGAATTTGTCACAGCCTGTAAAAATGATGGAGAGAAAATCAAGTCAGTCCCTTCCAAATGTCACAAGAAACTCCAACATAACACCTGTTCACATTATTAATCCAGGTGTAATAAGGAAATGAAGACCTGATGATCCTGGGACATGAGGAGCCTCAGACAAGGCTCTGTGGCCTAGAAAGCACCCTAGCAAGGTGCTAAAGCCACATGCTAAGACCAAGCAGCTCTGTGCTACTCCAGGCAGGCAGTGGACTCCTAGGCAGCCAGGCCCCAGCCCTAAGGAGCCTAGAGTTCACTAGGGGGTGGTGCGCGTGGGCCAGACCCTCCGAGGGAACACGCAGGGTGACTTCAGATAAATGCCCAGTGGTACAGAGATGGCTGTGGAGAGGTGCTGCGACACTAAGGGTCAGGGCAGCCCTGGTGGAGCAGGGGCCATACGACCTGACCCCTGAACAAGGCTCAAGGGCTGGCCCGAGGCACCTGGGCCGCGGTGGGCAGTGGCCCGGCGGCGCAGCTGGGGGACCCGGGCGGAGCCAGCTCGCGCAGCTCCGTCCCGCTTGGCGCCATCTTGTCCCCAGCGTCGCGGGCCACCGGGCGGCCGGGGCGCGGCCCTCGCGGGCGGAAGCGGGCGGCGCCCTCCGCGACTGGCCCACGAGCGTGGCCACAGATCCAACGCTCACCGCGGTCGAGGCGCGGTGC